CAAACGACAAAACATGTATGCCACGGACCCACTAGAAATATTCACAAATCGTGTACACTGCAGGTTAAAAACCGAATTTGAATTTTTCCGGTTAACCAATCAACTACACGTGTTTGATCTCACTTGGGCAACGCATAATGTATTGTGTCAAATAAATGACCAAACCCTTTCTGATCATTTGTAACAGGGTAATTATACATGAAGCAAGGGTGAATTGTTTGACAAACATGAATGTATGGTCGGATATCTCGATATCCTAAGGCTGGTCGTCTCCTTTCGTTGTTCTAATGCCACGTGATTAGTTCACACCATTATGTGGCAATGATAGTTTTCTCAGTGTTTTTTTCTTTCTCCACACATTCTGCTGGTATGGTGCTATAAATACCAAGCTTCCAGTTAGCTACGCTGGGTGGCCTGAGTACGCTCCGCCACGTCGTGTGGGTGACTGTTAAATCTCAAATAAAGTATTGTTTTTTCACACACTGAACCCGTCTACTGTCATTTTAAATCATGTCCACTTTTCATCACGAATAAATCAACTGGTAGTATTATCACGTAGTTTTTAAACTTTGTTGTGTGTTTTACTTCTGTTTTGGGACTGGTAGGGGGGGTCGTAACCCGTTGTGGTGAGAACCAGTGAGACTGGCCTACTTGCAGGGTCCCAAAGCTTAACGTTGTACGTTATTTCGTTTTCTTTTACGTTATTTGTCCTTGTCAAACTGCTAATTAAAAATCACTACTACTACATGAAAACCATATTGATTCGTCACAAAATGACCCACCAACTCTTAACTAGTCCCGCTTCTTGCTTAGGCCAGACTGATTTAATTTTATGGATGAACACCCTCTGAAGACCCCAAAACTAATGCGAGAGGGCGAAAACAAAATCCTGCCAAACAAAAAATGCTGCTAAAACCACAGGACTACGGAGCTGTTATTACGAATTGAACCACAGTGTATCAAAAAAACAACAACAAGTCTTTATTTGTAGGAGGCACGTGTTGATGTACACATCTCGTACTGTATTGCAGTCACAGGTACCTTTGAATTTGAAAAGGCAAGAGGATAAGGTAGATGTTAGCTTTGCCAAAGGCATACACATCAACTCAATAATAAAGAAAAACTTACTGTGTTGTATTGAAAAAAAAAATTAAAAATGAACAATAAGTTTATCAACAGCAACCTGGAAATTAACTTCTTTGACATTCAAACTACAGCTTTTAAAGTGACACTTCAGATAGACTAAGTGTAGACACAAATGCTCTAGAACTATTTCAACTATGTAACAAATTATAAGAGGCTCGATATTGAAGAAAAAAACACCAACAGAGAGTTAACAAAAATTTGAATGCAGAAAATTATGTAC